TAAGTTAATCAGGTTTCTGCTATTGCAGACAACCCCATCACATAATATTACTCAGAATCTGTGTATCTATGTCTGTAACAGAAACAGTTCCCTGACTGCTCTGATCAGGATGCTGCCCAGTCCATCCTGAAGACTGCAGCCTACCCTACCCATGGTTCAAGGAAGGATGTGCAGGCAATGACTCTTCATTCTAGTCACTCTACTGAGCTGTGGTCCCAAGGAGATGACATGATCTCTGAATCCATAAGCTATTTTGTAGAGAGATGCTCTGCTGCTTCCGTGCCAGGGATCTGGTATGACCATCACTGTGACAAGAACACCATTCGGGTATTGGGAAGACGCTGAGGATAAAACAAAATCGAAAGAGTTCTGGGTAGAACCAAAGAATGATCAATAAATTTGAAAATACAATAAAAAAACTGATGGAGAGACATTTTAAAAAAGCTAGTTATTAAGTAGATACATGTGAAAAAAAAATGAGTAGAAATTTATACAACAAACTGATAAAAGTAATAACAAAAGCCAGTGATTCAAACTCAAGGCAAACAAATGCAGGCCAGAACGAAGAATTACTTCTTTTTATTCTTTTTTTAACTCAGGTTGATTAACCCTTGGAAATCCTGTCTTCTCCAGACCATACCGTCTCTAGATAATTTTGAATGCCAGACAGGTACTTTCCTAATGCAGCACAGGGTTAAAGCTGATAATCACAAAAGCTCTTCTGATGTTGAAAAATTCTTTCCCCTTCCCAGCTGCACTATGGTATCACTATAGGCATCTACAGGAAAATTGATTTTCTATCATCATGAGCACAAGGGAAGACCCTTAGGTAATTACAAAAGATAAACGTGCACTTTCAATTTTTCAGGCCATGCAATGGTTAAATTTCTCTGATGAAAGTGAAATCTTTGCAGTGGAGGCCTGATAGTCTGTCATGAAACCTGAATCACAGCATGGTATTTCTGGTAAAGAGTTCTTAGAAATACCTTATGCCTTTAACAACACCTTTGGCTGGGATAATTATTTTTCTCTGAATCCACAGAGGTGTAATCTTATTGCTAAGCCAGGCTGACATTTTCTGTGGGGAAAAAAACCTACACAGCTGAACCTGTTAATGATTTCAGGTCAGATTTGACAAATAGCTCTGTTGAGAATTTTTTTCTTTGAGATCATTCTGTTCAGACTCTTTCAAAATGAATCTTTTTGAAATGTCTGTTTCGCAGCAGTACATTTCTTAGAAATCATGCTAATTTTAGAGGGAAACAAACCAAAACAATTTTGTTTCCTGTCAGATAAAATGTCTTATTCATTATGTACTCCCACGATGTAAAAACTTTATTTTTTGAACTTGGGGTTTTGTGCAAGTCTATTTGTGCTATTTAGATTGTATAAGGTATAATATGGACTCAAGTTTGTGCTGCAATGTTATATGCATTTATATTCAGAACTATTTCCCACCGTTGTGGCAAAAAGTTTTTATTAAATTAAGAATTACACAAGCATTACAGTCACCTTTCCAGTGCAGTCCAGATGATGTTCTCATAGGAAATTCTAACCTTCATGTTCAGCTGGGCCCTTTGTATTTGTTAGTCACAAACTGATTCCTGCAATGGCAATGCCATGCTGTAGTCAGAAGGTCCTACCTAAGGAGTAGATCAGGTCAGCTGTTATGTCCAGGTTCCTACAGGGCAGGGGGGTTGGAACTAGATGATCTTAAGGTTCTTTCCAACCCTAACTATTCCATGATTCTACGATGATGTGTTTGATGCATCTTGGGTCACCTTCTCAGCAGAGTCACCTTTTCTGCAGGCGTGATTTAGTTTAAAAAGCTGAGGCACTTAACCAGTAAAGACAGAAACTGAACTCCTGCATTAAGAACTGCAAAGTCTGGGGAGGAAAATGTTAGAATGAGGCATGCTGGGCTTCAGCTGTAAGAAGAAATGTGTAGTTAGACATCAGTGGGGTTTTTTAAAGAAAAAAAAATAATTAAAAAAAAAGCCTGCCTTACTCTGATATTTATTTGTTTGTTTGTTTGTTTATTAGGTAGTTATCCTACACTGCAGCATCTTCAGTGTTGGAGGCTTTTAAGAGCTGCCAGAAAAGCATCTGCCAGGTAAAGTAGAGCCTGCCTCAGGGTAAAGGGAAATTTTTTCTGTGATTCAACAATGCAAGAATGTCCTGGGGGATAAGGCTCAATAGAAGATAACACTGCCAACAAGAGAAAATACTTGTGTTATGGGACTTTATTAAAACTCAGAAAGTAAAACAATTTTATGAGCATAAAGTCTGCTTCTGTTCAGGTGTCCAAAAGTCAGTCATTCTGTCCTAAAGGTACAGACCCATTTAATCTATCAGACCCTGAAAGGGTGAGAAAAACTGCTGATTCTGCCTGGACAAGGGAGGAGGGAACAATGAAACTGCCCATGCTGAGATGGTCTGCTTTAGGGATTAGGTATTGCGCATCCAGTCAAAGACAGGCTCAAGCAAGAGTGTGGAGGGCATACTCAGACGTTTTCAGCAGAAGAAGTAAGGTACAATGTCCCTGTATTTACCCAATCAGCCATGGCACAAATCCTTCACCAAATTACCAGGGAAGTCTCTTTGCCTTTTCAAACTGGTTTCTTTTACCCCACGTTCATCCATTTCTTTTTCCAGGTAGTTTATTTCTCTTTCTGTTCACAGGCTTTGTTTTCTGTTACGACCCTATACCTCAGGTTCACAGTGTAGTTCAGCCTGAAAGTCAAGGATGCCAACCTACCCACAGCCACCAAAGGAATTGATTGCACACCACATTCTGCAGAAGGTTTGCTCTGTTCAGCTGCTCTCAGGATCAGGCACTCTCTTACCCAATAGCTGTTGCAAAGAAGGGTAGAAGAAGCATTGAATCCACAGCTAAACAACCTTTAGCTTTTAACAGCTTCATTGAGCACAGTTTACCTCTCAAAGAAATCACGGAGAGCAGCTTCTAGCATCCTTCACCCTTCCAGAGTTCCAGTGAACTTCTCAGCTCCTACAGAGCAACTTGTCAATTGATAGCTGCTGTTACAGAGGATGGGACTTTCCCATCACATTGATTTAGTGAAAGGAATGCAAGTTACGAGAAAACAGCAAACAACAGAGTGCAGCCTTGACAGCAGATACGTGACAGGGGTAAATACAATGACCTGTCTGAGGCTGTTACCTTTACCTGCTAGGCTGCAGTCAATAGGCACCCTGCTGTGCAGTTATTTCTGAAGCATTATAATTATACTGCTGTGCCTCACACTTCTTTCTAAAGACATACTGCACATGATTCCTCTAATTTAATCAGATACAGACCAGATTTGTCCCTTAAAATGACACAGGATTCAGAAGCTCCTGAGAAATCCAAGCTGGTGGAAATGCTGATGAATGCCTGGAGTCATTTAAGTCATAATGTTGTCTGCAAGGGGATTTTGATAAGGCTTCTAGTTTCCAGGACAGGATTTTGACTGCCAGCCAGTTACTTGCAGTAAAGATGGCATCTATGAAACAGAACTATAAATACACAGAACTTCCGTGAAAATACATGTATTGTTTCTCAGGCACTTGGGTATAACAATAATAATTCTGGGCAGATTAGTCATAAGCAAATATTTCCATAGTGTAGGATGGGTATGCTATACTGTGAAAAGGCACAAAAACCATCTGCCAAATACTCACCAAAAAAAAGCAGCACGAAAACCTCTATCACAAACCTCATATTCAATTTTGATTTACAGTCAAGCATTCTCCCACTGCATTTTGGGATGGAAAATCCTGATGCTGTCATGAAAGCCTGTCCTGCAGCCCTCACTTAGACAAATTCATAGATGGAAGGAAGCCATGCCTAGATATAAGAAAAGGCTAAGGCTGATGATCTGCCTCCTGTCCCAGCCCAGTGACAGCATGTATTTCATTATACTCTAGTGCTAGGGAAACTATTTCAGTTAAAAATATTGACATTTCTGTCAGTCAGCACCTTCCTCTGGAAGGAAAGTGAGATAAATGTATATTGTATACATATACAAGTGAGATAAATTGTTTATTTCAAAAGCATGAAGGAGACACAATAAAAGAATTCCAGTATAAAATAGTTTAAACAAGACAAAGGACGTGAAATAAATGACTCTCAAACTTGAAACACATCTGTGTTTCTCATCTTACATGTGTGACTAAAGTACAAAGAAGATATTGCTTTGCAAGAGAAAACTGTGCAAGCATGTGAGAATTTTTTTCTACCAAGTGAGAGATATAGACTCAACATTGCATTTGTCTTTAGACAGGCATGGAAAAAGCAAAGAAATACAGGGTTTGGGGCTCACTAACCCAGATCTACATGAAAATTATTGGAAACCAGAAGACTTTGTTCACTGAAAATAAAATCAAATGCTTTGAGGTTTTTAGTTTACCCTCTAAAATAATGGTGAAGAGGTTGTGTAAACCATTTTAAAGATGGTTTAAAATTTTGAAAAACCCACTGAAGCTGCATATCTGAGGAAAATATTTTCTTGTAAATCTACCATGATCGTTTCCCAGAGATGATTTAACAGAGTCCAGGTTTAAGAATAAGCTTCTGTCAATGATACAAATTGGAATTTGTATCGTTTATTCAAGCACAAATTGTATCTTCCACACAGCCACACAGGAACCCACTGCCACGGGCAATACTAGTCAAATTCTGATTCTTGGAAGAAAAAATGTGCATTGTCTTCTTCAGACTTTCACAGAACATACCATTTTCTCTGGTAGACTTAGAGAACTGAACTCAAGACCTACTCCCAGTGGAATTAAATAGAAAAAAAAATACATGTATAGGAATAATACATGCAAATACTAACCATTTTTTGGAACACACTATGCATAAATAGACAATAAAAAGAAATTTCTTCTCTTACAGAGCTACCATCTAAAGTGAGGGCTTACTTGTCATTTTCCCTCCATGATGATTTATGGGTTGGCATTGGCTCTCTTCTCTTCCAGACTTCGTATCCTCTGAGGGGAATGGCTGGCACCTTCTGTCGTCTCCTGGCTGGCCGTGCAACCACTGCACTCTTTGCAGCCGCTGGCACAGGCGTGCTGACCACTGGGTATCTTCTCAACCAGCAAAATGTGAAGGCTGCTGTTCAGGAGAAACGGAAACTCTTCCCGCCAAGGTAAGGACTTAGTTAGGCGGTCAGCGCCCTGTTAATTGGGCTAGGAGCAACATTTAACTCTTTGGAGAAAGATCCCTAGGAAAGGGTCCCTGCATAGTCCTCATGTGGCCACAGAGTTAGTGTGTCTGTCCATGGGCTGTGTGACAGCACATGGGCTGTGTGAAGAACAGCACCCTTCATTAATAACCATAATTTAAGGCAGCACCAACAATGGCCTTCAAGGCCAGAAAGCAGAGGTGTGGGATACTATCAACACTCAAAAAAGCCACTGACAAACAATAACAAGCCTAAGAAATATTTCAGATTTCAAGCATAGCACTAGATTAACCCTTATTTCATCTCATCAGCTATCAGATGCTTTGCATCTCAGCCTTTTGGACTGGCTGATTGTACATTAGAAAATGCGAAAATATTTTCATTATACAAGTAGTAAAGACATCTCCCATATAACTGCTGCACTTGAAATACTCCTCATTCTGTTACAAACTGGCTGGCTGATGATTACGAACTAATTACAGACCATCTCTGTAGGTTGACTTGCTGGCATGCTTGTGAAAAACACTACAGACCAGGCTCTGAGAAAGGCTGTGAACACTATTCAGTAGTGAATACTGTCCTAGTTAAAATACATTCCTAAACAATAATGGAGTTGTGCATAAAGCAAATCATTACCAGCACAAGGCAAATGTGGTCTGACTCAGTTGCAAAAACGCCTTGCTAAAGCATAACATCTTTATTTTTCCTGGCTTAGTACACAATGCATCCTTCTGTAAACAGTAATGCCATTAAAGCAAAACCAGATATTGTAGAAGAACAAGCACCTAGGCTCTGAATTAGAGAGAATGTTTTCAGCTACACTTAAGTCCCTTTCTCCTTGAACAAAACCATGTTGGAGCTCTTTTATTTCTGAATAAATTTTCTCTATTTCTTATTTCTCTCAGCAGAGATTTAATGGTGCTTAGTACACTTTCAGAGCCCACTGGGATACATTTTCCTGATGGCTCTGCGTAGCAGAAAGCTGCAATTGCCTGTTGGTGTGGCGGCCTGCCGGTGTGCGACATGGGGTACTTTCAATGACTGGAATCTTCCTCCCTTCCTGAAACTCAATACAACATATAAACCAAGAACTAATTATACTTTTAAACCATGCTGTGTATTCTGCATCTCATGACCCCTTTAATAGCTTCATAAACTAGCAAGGATTACTCTTCAAAAGTGCCACATTAACTGCTTGGGCTTCTTCTCCTCTTCAGCGCAGACTATCCTGATCTCCGCAAACATAACAACTGCATGGCTGAGTGCCTCACGCCGGGCATTTACTCTCGGCTCAGGGACAAGATGACTCCCAATGGCTACACCCTAGACCAGTGCATCCAAACTGGGGTGGACAATCCTGGCCACCCTTTCATTAAAACTGTGGGCATGGTCGCAGGTGATGAAGAATCCTACGAGGTAAGACATTTCCCCTATAGTGTTGTATTTGGTTCAGGTTTTGTGGTATCTTTCATAATAGCTCATCAAATGAAGTCAGAGTCACAGTAGGGTATGGATTCCTGCAGTAAATTCTATCCCAGAGAGTAAGTAAGGGACAGGCCATGTGCATAAAGATGGTGTTTTCCCTACTCTTCCCTATATCAGGAAATGCATAAACATGAGATATTACTACTGGTGCTTTTTCTGCTGCAACTGAATTTAATAAAGGGTACCTGCTTGGGATCAGCTGCTACCTGCCTCCAGCAGCTGCCTTCATTCATAGAATCCTAGAATGGTTCTGCTATAAGGGACCTTAAAGCCCATCCAGTTCCAACCCCCTGTCACGGGCAGGGACACCTTCCACTAAACGAGATTGCTCCGAGCCCTGTCCAACCTGGCCTTGAACACTTCCAGGAATGGGCAGCCACAGCTTCCTACAATTAAACTTTTTATGGCTGGGCTGCTGAGGATGGACTGGGACGTCTGGCATTCTGGACTATCAGCTCCTGTGGTTCAGTTTTACTCAATTAGATGTGTCATTGCCACCACTCCTCATCTGCAGGAAGGTGTGGTTGTGATCAGTGTTGACACACCTAAGCTACGTGGCTCTAATGAAGACTAGCATCCCGTGGCAATGAAGACATACAATATTCCTGCAGGATCTAAAACCAACATACGGGCTGCTGGGGGACTTGTGTGTGTGTTCTGATTGGTAATATATCCTGAAACCTAATCTGGTTGCCACTACATCCAGTACCTCTCTGTGGCAACTGAAGTAAGCTTGTCATGCAATTTCTGTTGTGAAGACAAGCACTCCTCCTTTTATATTTACCCCTGTCTGCATTTGCAAAGCCCCTTGTATGTCTGTCACCCAGGAGCCTGTGGCAGGGGACTTCTCCTGTGGCTGAAGCTGGTGCACTGAAGCATTTCTGTGATGCTGCAGACTCTCTATAGATTCTCTTGACTCCATAGGTGTTTGCTGAGATTTTTGACCCTGTCATTAAAGCAAGGCACAATGGCTATGATCCACGGACTATGAAGCATCACACAGACCTGGATGCATCCAAGGTAGGACTGAAATAAAACAGTGAAACAATAAAGGATCAGGGCTGTTTCTTACAGTGATGATACTGTATGCAACAGTACTTTTCTTTTTCCTTATCCAACTCCAAAGGCACTAATTTTAGGGTTGAGAGAAGTGAAATGCCACTCATGGCCCTATCAGCAAGAAAGATGCAGCCCTACCTTGTTCCTAGCAGGGCGTTCAGTCCCTACTTACTAAGCATTTTGGCCATAGTCTCACTTGGCACTGAGTCTGTGCATAAGCTTACAAATAACCATGTGTCTAAGACTTGGAATAAACCCAGGAATTGACTCCAATATGCCCACATAAACATGATGAAACCTTGCCTGCTGCTCAGTATTTCCTTCATAGTTTCACTACACCATGTTTTAGCACCTTTTGGGGCTCTCGTCTTTCAAAGGGTCTTCCTTACCTGGTACCCTGCCTCTGACCATATCCGTATTGCCAAAGCCATGCAGATTCCTTCATATTTTTGGACCATTGGCGGTTACTGTGCCACGTTCTTTCTGTCAAAGAAATATGTTGTTCCTAGGAACTCTGAGGGGCTCCTGGTATCCTGAGTATTTGTGATCTCATGGAGCTCATCATGCTTGGGCAGAAAGATGCCCTCTTTTAATGGTGAACTACAAGATGGGGGGATATGTGTGAACTAATTAATCATTCTTCCTCCAGATCACCCATGGTCAGTTCGATGAGCGCTATGTCCTCTCGTCGCGGGTGCGGACTGGCCGCAGCATTCGGGGCCTCAGCCTTCCTCCTGCCTGCACCAGGGCAGAGCGGAGAGAGGTGGAGAACGTCGTGGTCACTGCACTCGCTGGGCTGAAAGGAGACCTCTGTGGCAAGTACTATAGCTTGACCAGCATGTCCGAGAGGGAACAGCAGCAGCTTATTGATGTAAGTGTAGCTCCAGTGCTGACAACGCCTTCATTTACTCTTGCTTATCTTAACCTTTGTCTTTCTTTGGGGCACATGCTTTCCTGTGTGGTGAAGAAGGATAATCACAGCATTAATCCAGTAGTTAATGGCCTGTCAATATTTTTAATGCAATAACAAATCTTCCAGGGTCTATATTTTGGCTAAGTACATAGCTGTGCAGGTCTGAAATGTAGATTTATATTCCAGATAGGAAGATCTGTGTCAAACCAAACACACATGGCTGCTGCCACCACTTTGGACAAATAATGATGTAAATTCAGGACTTTATCTTGGTCATTTCCTTGATGAAAGATTTATATTTTCTATATTAACAACCATTCTAACTGAAAATATTACACTGAGATAAGCATTATTTATTATCTGTATTCTAGACTGTTGGGGTGGGGGGCTTTGGCTGTAATTTCTGTCTGTCAAAACTACACTAACTCTTAAGTTCCCCAAAATGGCTGTAGCCAACTGCACCCAGGTGACCTTTTCCCAGTCCTGTAACTGTGTTTCAGGACTTGAAGGATCAGGCCCATAACGAGAGTTTTCATTGTCACACAGATGGAAAGACAAGGATTTTCATCATGGATTTTGTCACAGCATGTGACATGTCAAACAAACCTTGAATGTGCATTTTAAATATCCAAAGGAATGGCTGTACCCTGTTAGCTATATTCATGGCACATTAATCCATAACATCAACCAAAAGGGAGCTGATGAAGTAAGATAACTATTTATAACCTTGGAACTAGGTGTCACAGTCTGGATTAACCAGGAGTTAAGAATTTATGTAAGGTCAGTAACTTTTTTAATTGAATGTCCTTGGTAATATGTTTATTGACAAGATGTTGATGACCTATTGTAGGTTT